CTGCCGCCAGTTATCTTATACAGCTCGAAACACCCAGCCATCGGAAAGCCTTTTTGTTAGCTCAATGCCATGCTCTCCCCTCTGCGGTACTGGAGGGCAAATATAAAAAAATACCATTGGCCATAAGGCTTTGTCCGTATGACTCCAGAGACGTGGAAACCACAGACCATGTCCTTCTTCACTGTGTTTTCTACACAGATCTCTGAACCAAACTCATCTTACCTCTGATTAGTAAATATCCTGGTTACCCAGATTCAGACTATGTGCAAATGCTGCTCATAGATGAAAAGTCTATTGTCACAGTGCAGGTAGCTAGGTTTTGTACTGCAGCAATGAAGATTCGCCCGACCCTGATGGGCTAATTTATGTAATGTATTTTATGTAACAGTAACTCATTTAAATGTTTATATATTAACATAGTGGTAATTTTAGATACTTACATTTTACATTTAACATAATCTTAGTGACTATAGTTTCACCTAGTATAGGGTGCACCTAGATTGCACCCATAGAGTTTAGTTAGATAGTTTTATAAATGTATTTTAATTTTATTTTAACTTTTAATTTTATTTTATCCTAGGTTCCTATCATTTTAAGATAGACTATGCATACTTTCACAGAGCATCATCCTTGTACTGGTCCAAGACCACAATAAACTTTGATTGATTGAAACTGAAAGTATTTTGTATATGTGTGAGATTCAGTTATTACTGGTAGTGTGGCAGTGATGTACCATTATGGTACTCTCAGATAAAGCTATGGATTCAACATGACACTGTTGCACAGCCCTATAATCCAAGAACTTAATTTCAGAAACATCGTTTAAATGGGTGAGTAAAAGCTCCTTCAAACAATTATCTAATACCTCAATGCTAGGTGAGGAATGATTCTCATCATGATGAACATATTCTTGTATTGTATGGACCTGCTGCATCAAGAGGTCACAATAGAGACGCAGTTCAGACATTTTGGTTTTTAGAGACTCGTTGGTTTCATTTATTTCTGGAAGAATATCAGAAAACAGAAACTTTACTATTCAGGGTTATAAGTGCCCTCCCCAAATATTAAAAAAAAAATCAATATTCATATCTAACTCTTTTGAATTGTCTACAACTTGTTAAACTTCTGATCTTTTTGCCAATTTCCAGTTTTACGTCTATTTTGTAGTTCTTCATAATTCCACTTTTTTCCAATGGGCTTACTAAGTGTGCAGAGCATTCTGAATAACTGTTTTGATACACCCTGTAGAACTGACCACTGGCTACGGTGGCTCTATTGAAAATGGGAAAGCTACCTTATACATAAAATAATATTAGTCTATGCAGCTCAATTTTGCCTTCTTTGATTTATATCATCTATGTCCAACTGCAGAATCACTCTGAAATCTGCAGTCTTCTCAGGTATCTTGGTTCTCTGAATGGGAGGATTCCAAGAACTATTCCCGGAATTTCCTTCAACTCAGTGACATGTTCTAAGCTAACAGAAAGTACATTCATTGCTGCTCAAGGCAGTAGTACTATGTGTACCCTGAAGCAGGTTCCACAAAGGCAGTGGGTTTTACTTGTAAGTGAAATCATATTAACAAAATCATCTCAACAAAATGAACAGATCTCAGTACATGTAACTGAGCAAAACCTTTAGCAACTTCAGTGTCACTCAGCCAACTTCTAACACTGACACTCCCAAAATATGTATGATGGGGCGGAGGGGGCACACAGTGTAGCCCTGCTCCCAGTGCCAGTGTGCACCCCAGCCACACTCTCAACCCCCCTGTGAAGCAGGCCTATGGTGGAGGGTTTCTGCCTAACGGGAGGAATCCTGTACAGTCTCCAACTCCACACTGCTTGGGGGAGCCCTACTTGTATGCATTTCTGTGTATGCAGGACTGCTTCACATGAAAGTGTGCATTAGTGGCAAGAGTGAGACAGCAGGACATTTTACAACAGTTCCCAGAGACTACAGAACTGAAAGCAAGCGCCCCTTGGGCTCTGCTCTAGGTAAGGAGAGCCAGGAGAGCAAAGGGCCACTTGCTGTAAGAACAGTATGATATAGAGAAAACCAGCCTGGCCCCTTCCACTTGGCCAGTGCCTGTTTTCCTCTTCCCTATATACATTTGTATGTCTATTGACCTATGAACCTGCGACAGGCGGTGTCTTAACTTTGAGTATCTGAAGACGATGAAAGTGCCTAGAAGTTTCAAACCACCAAGCAAAGCCATATGGCTGCACCCCCCCGCCCTCAGTGTTCAACACGCAGAGGCTGCGGTAGGGTGAACCATGAAAGAAAAAGAAATAAACTTAGATGTACATTTGATGGCTTTAAACCACACCTATAAAATATTCAAGAAGCCACTTTTTAATGATTTCATAATATTTTAGAAAACATATGTACCTTTTTCTTTTTTAGTTCTGGCATCTGTCAGGCAAGCTTTGGAGCTCCCTAGGGCTACTAGCCACCTCTGTCGCTCAGCAGCATTGACAGCTTTCATGTAGAAATGCTGCTCTCCTGGGATTATTAGCTCCATTCTGGTGCTATCCATCGGATGAACTTAGGAAAAAGAGAAAACACAAAATAAGCTTATAGATTTTCCAAAATTGCCTAGAATAAGAACAATAGTGTTATCTAAACAAAATGTATTACTTTAGTTAAGAGACTGGCAAAGCAGCGCCTACAGGCACCAATGCACTTACAATAGGAGCCAGTTTGGTCTAGTGCAGTGTTTTTCAAGCTTAGCAGCTTGAAGATGTGCAGACTTCAACTCCCAGAATTCCCCAGCCGGCATGGCCGG